AACCCTCATAGCCTCCCTTCCGGTACTCTGGCATATCCAATAATCCGGCACCCCCTGGGTCCCAAAGGTGCCGGATTATTGGAAGTTTACTGTAATTCTAACTGGCGTTTGAAACTTTTTTGAAGAATTTCTTACAGTAAGGTTAAGAGTGTGTGGAAAAAGCTTTGCATGTATGGACCAAAGAATACACAAAATAATGTTAAACAACAAGTTGATTCATACCCAAAGAGGAATAACTTCTTAGTATTTTCATTTGTGGGTGGAGTCTTCAAAAGAAATCTCTCAGAAGAAGGCTCTTGACACAAAGAAGCAGCACACTCAGATTGCACAGAAAGACTGCTAAGCTGTTGTGTCTTTTTGTCCCAAATACCACAGTCCAATGACGGTTGTGTCTCAGCATCTGATGGCATTTTGTTTTCTGTCCTTAATTTTGTATCTCCAGACTTTCCAGTAGTAGCTGACTCAGAAGAACAGCTTGCCATAGAAAGTGCTGAGCAAGTATTACCCAGCTGGTCCATAGATACTCTGACCTGGTTCATTCCTTCAATCAAAACTCTCTCATTCTCAGTTTTTGCAGTAATTTTGTTTGGTTTCTCCAACAAACATTCCCCTGTCACTGCTTGGTCTTGGAAAGACAGTCGTTCAAATTCTGTCATTAAGTTGGAGACTGGGGATATAAGGCACTCCTCTCCACCATGTGAATGTTTTCTGTCAGTAGTTATCCTCTCGTTAGTTATCCTCTCGTTAGTTACAGGGCTGCAAAACCCATTTTTATGGGAAGAAACCCCCTTCTCATAGTTCATGGAGAGATTCGGTGTTTCTATAATGTTTACTTTGTGCTCCATCGACAGAATGTCACACTCCACATCTCCAATGGCATCTATATTAGATTCCTCAGTCACAACAGGCGGGCTGTTATTTCGTGCTGCATTCTGTCTGTTTTTAATTTCTTCCAAGCTCATGTCATCATCATCTTCATCTAAAAATGCTCCAACAGAAATGGAATTGCAGCACTTTTTACTCTTGCCTACAAACAATTTTAATAAAAAGACATAAACAAGAAGCTTCATAATTGAAATCCTATTAGATAAACTAAGAACAGCTCAATGGTTTTTATGGTTGATGGTAATTCCATTATTGCACAGAATCACAGAATACTAGAACGGGAAGGGACCTCAAGATATCAAGTCCAGTCCACCCCTTGGCAGGACCAAGCATGGTCTATATCATCCCTGCCAGATGTCTGTCTAACCTGCTCTTAAATATCTCTAGTGATGGAGATTCCATAACCCACCTAGGCAATTTATTCTGGTGTTTAACCACCCTGACAGTTAGGAAGTTTTTCCTAATGTCCAATCTAAACCTCCCTTGCTGCAGTTTAAGCCCATTGCTTTTTGTCCTATCGTAAGAGGCCACGGACAGCAAATTTCCCCCCTCCTCCCTGTGACAGTGTCACACTACTGACTCATATTTAGCTTGTGGCCACTATGACCCCTAGATCCCTTTCTGCAGTACTTCTTCCTAGACCGTCACTTCCCATTCTATATGTGTGAAACTGACTGTTCCTTCCCAAGAGCAGTACTTTGCATTTGGCCTTATTAAACTTCATCCTATTTACTTCAGACCATTTCTTCAGTTTGTCCAGATCATTTTGAATTATGACTTTACCCTCCAAAGCACTTGCAACCTCTCCCACCTTGGTGTCATTTGCAAACTTAATAATCGTACTCTCTATGCCATCATCTAAATCGCTGGTGAAGATAATGAACAAAACCAGTCCCAAAACTGAGCCTTGTGGAAACCCACTTGTTATGCCCTTCCAGCATGACTGTGAACCGTTAATAACACTTTCTGAGAACAGTTATCCAGCCAATTAGGCACCCACCTTATAGTATCCATTTATGTAGACCCTTTTATAATCTGATCTAAGCAATGGCATTAGTTAGCCTAAGTAATCCTATTGTCAAAAATATGCACATCTTGAATAAGCTAAAAAAGGATAAATGCATACATCTGAGAGGCATGTTTCCTGTAAGTTTCAATTAAAGAGCCTGAGTCATAGAATCTGACCAAGTATGAAGATAAAACCAGAAGGCACAATACAAAGGCAAAAAAAGATACCTACGCGAGATAGTAAGCTTGCCATGTCCTAGGCACCAAAGGCTTCACTGAAATTATATTGGTACTAAGACAAACCCACAAAAGAAGCTAAATTAAGTCATCTTCTGAATCAGTACATAACTCTTTCAAAAATAGCTAATGATACTATGCAGAATATATTTCTGCAACATGGCTCGACTTAGACACACAAAATATTGAAGATCCTACATCGAATACAATATTGCAATTAGAGATTACTGAAAAGTGATAGAAATGTAGCCGTGTTAGTCTGGTGTAGCTGAAACAAAATACAGAACTATGTAGCACTTTAAAGACTAACAAGATGGTTTATTAGGTGATGAGCTTTCGTGGGCCGGACCCACTTCCTCAGATTTGAGGAAGTGGGTCTGGCCCACGAAAGCTCATCACCTAATAAACCATCTTGTTAGTCTTTAAAGTGCTACATAGTCCTGTATTTTGTTTCAGATTACTGAAAGGTACTCAGGAGTTTGGTAGAGTCCTATTCTTCTTTGAGTGATCCCTGTGGGTGCTCCACTCATGGTGTCAGGCTTGTTCCCATGCCACAGCTTGGAGACCTGAATAGCCGTGCTCCGCCAGATCATTCATGCGCAAGCAGCGGCTCACACCGTTCAAGTCTTTCATCTGTTGCGTGTGGTCCAGCCTCACTCAATTCCTCTCAGCCGCTCCCTGAAATGAGAAACATAAAATTCTGGAGCGGGGAGGAAGGGCGGGTTTTGGAGCATCCACGGGGCACATCTTGAAGAACAATCGTTACTTCACAGGGTGAGTAACTTCTTTTTCTTCTTCAAGTGGCTCCGTGGGTGCTCCACTCCTGGTGACTTTGGAGCAGTACCCAAACATTTGAGGGCTCCAGAATTAAGGTTTTTGGATACGAGACAGGACTGCCGTAGCCACCAAGGAATCGGCCACAAATTGATTTACTACAGTGTAGTGCTTCATAAAGGTAGAATAGGAGGAGCATGTTGCTGCTCGGCAAATGTCTCGAAATTGGACACCTCTTAGAAAGGCTGTAGTAGTGGCAACTGCTCTCGTAGAATGGGCCCTAGGTGGGCACAAAAGGGGTTTGTTATGTATGGAGTAGCAGGTTGTAATACATGAGATTATTAGTCTTGCAATTCGCTGGGAAGTTAAGGGTTGTCCTTTGGACTGGTCCGTTAGTGACACTATTAGATGGTCTGATTTCCTGAACTGCCACGTTCTTTCAATGTAAAATGCTAGTGCCCTTCTCACATCGAGCGTGTGCAGTACTGCATCTTGCCTTGAAGCATGAGGTTTGGGATAGAAACAGGGAAGAACAACTGGCTCGATGTGAAAATCCGAGCAAACTTTCGGAATACACGCTGGATGAGACTTCAAAGTCACCGACTCCTTAGTAAAAACTGTGTAGGGTGGTGATGACATGAATGCTGCTATCTCATTCACTCTGTGGGTTGATGTAAAGGCAAGCAGAAACAGTAGTTTAGTAGTAAGAAGCTATAATGATATCATGGCTAAGGGCTCCAACAGGGGGCGGGGCAGTCAATTAATCTAGAACAAGGTCCAGATCCCAGGATGGTGGTGGTGGTCATCGTGGTGGGTTGAGGTTTGTAAGTCCTTTCAGGAACCTCTTTGTGGTGGGGTGAGCAAATACGGAGAACCCCTCCTGCTCCCGATGAAATGCACTAGTCGCTGCCAAATGCACTCGCAAGGAAGCTATCGCATGGCCTGTGTTGTGAAGATGTAAAATATTATCAAGTATCTGGAATACATTTGTCACATGGGGATCCGTGATATCACTGTCACACTGGGCTTTAAATCTGGTCCACTTAGCGAGATAAGTTTTTCGAGTGGAATCCTTCCTGCTGTGTACTAATACTTGCTTCACCCTCTGTGAACATGAACATTCAGCAGAGCTGAACCAAGGAGCATCCATGCCATGAGGTGCAAGGTTTCTGGTTTTGGATGACACAGGGAGCCGCTGTCTTGAGTCAAGAGGTTCAGGAGCAGAGGAAGGGTGTACAGTGTTCTGATGCACATCTGATGGAGTATTGAATACCAGCGCTGACGCGCCCATGCTGGGGCTTTGAGGATTACTCGAGCCCTTTCCATACTGATCTTTTCCAGAATTCTGGGAACTAGGATGATCGGGGGGAAAGCGTATAATAATGATGCTCCCCAGTGACGGAGAAAAGCATCTCCCAAAGAGTGATGTCCTATTCCCACTCTGGAGCAATAATTCGGGCACTTGGCGTTGGCTGGGGTTGCAAACAGGTCTATCGTAGGAAAGCCCCACTGGGTGAAAATACAATGCAGAATGTCTGTGCGAATTTTTCACTCAGGGTCGTGGGAAAAAAGCCTGCTGAGTGAGTCCGCAATAGAGTTATGGATGCCTGGCAGATAGGATGCCATCAGCACGGTGTTGCTGCGGATACACAAGTTCCACAAACGCATTACTTCTACACAGAAGGATCAAGATCAAGCACCTCCCGGTCTGTTCATGTAATACATGGTAGCAATACTGTCCATGAGGATTCTGGAAGTCGTATATCTTATATGGGAGTGAAAATGCTGACATGCGTGCCGTACTGCTCTTAGCTCGAGAATGTTGATGTGTAAGGCCAGCGACCTTGAACCGTCAGGTCATCCATATGCGCTCCCCAACCGGTAAGGGACGCATCCATCGTTATTTGTTTTGACGGTTGTGGGCAGTGGAAAGGAATGCCCACCATAAGATTGTGTGGCTTGGACCATCACTGCAGGGATTATTGCACATGTAGTGCAACCACCTTGTGGACGCTGTCTTTCACTGGAATATATACTGTGGCCAATCAGTGTTGGAGGCAGCGAAAATGCAACCCTGCATTCTGAACTACAGCAGCTGAAGCAGCCATGTGTCCCATTAGTTGTAAAGACACTCGAACGGGAAATGTCGGAACATGTGTCAGTGTGTGTACAAGGTCTCGGATTGTGGTGAAACGTTCAGCGGGTAAGTAAGTGCATACTGTTTTTGAGTCGAGCCTGACTCCTAACCTGAGAGGCTGTTACTACCATTTGTCTGGCCTCTGAATATGTTAGCCCTCTTATGAGGCAACTGTCCAAGTATGGAAAAACTGTCACTCCTATTCTGCATAAGTGGGCAGCCACAACCAGCAGAGGCAAAATACAATACTTATTTTTATGCATCAGATCACGATTTCTAAATGGTACCGTACACAATATTAATTTATGAATTAGTCTAATTCGTAATTTAGACTGCCATTGACTTCAATAGTACATGTACTTTAAAATGTGGCTCATTATGTAGTTCACATAATCACACAGAAATAATTCTTGAGGCTCTGAAATTGTATAAATACGGCTTCATGAAACAGCAAAGGCTGTAATTTCTCTTTCAGTTATCAAGTTAAAACTCCTAGTTATTCCAGGATTTCAGTACAATAATTTACCATGCTCATTGTCATTTCTCTAGAGTTAAAAAGTAATAATTAAAACACAAATAAGTATCTTGTGTGAATACCCAATATAATAGACCCATAAACTGAAAATGGAATGACTATGCTAAAGATCTCCAAACAAACATATGTATTTGTAACCAGCAGAGCATACTAAGTTAACAAAATCAGAAAGAAAATGGAAAAAAAGAAGTTACTCACCCTGTGAAGTAACGATTGTTCTTTGAGATGTGCCCCATGGGCACTCTACTCCTGGTGTATGGTCCTGTTCTGGCGCCACGAATTGGAGAGCTATCAGAGCCATGGTCTGCTGGACCGTGCATGCATGGCTGCCTCTAGTGGCGTTCGCTGGCTCGATGTGAAAATACAAACAAACTTTCGGAATAAATATTGGATGAGACCTCAAAGTCACCGACTCCTTAGTAAAAACTGTGTAGGGTGGTGATGACATGAA